AAGAATTTTCAGTTACTTCATTTGCAATTTGACAACAGACCATGACGGTGTTCACATTTTTCAAATATTTTTCAAGAAGTGTTATCAGTCTAGCTCCAACTATCATAAGTACTATGTTTGTATTCCTACTTTAAATTCAAAAGCAGCAAATGTAAAAGATTCATGTCGCACCCTTCACCACGTGACGTGAGCGTCGTTAGACGTGGCAACCCTGGGAGCGACAGACAGATAACCCCACCAGTGAATAAACATTCTTACACATGCGTTTTAGGATGGAGAGGACAATGTTTTTATTGCTTTGAAGACATTCATTAACCCGTAAATTAATAAATGATTACTATTAAGATGTAAAGGAAGATGAGGAATTGGATGGAATGTATTTTATATTCTATTTTCTTGCAAAATACAGACAAATCCACACTGTTCAACAGGTATGTAATGATAACAGTATATTGAACTTCAATTCGAGATTGCCATGGATTAACAAACGTCCAAATCTGCTGCCAAATTTAACAGCTAGAAAATCGACTTATTATTTGCCGCATTCCCATTGGCTTTTGGGGATAACTGATTGTTAAATGTAAGTTTATAACACAAATCAAAATACATGAAAGTTGACCTGTTTTCTCTGTATAAAAGCATCATGTTAGAATCAAGAAGTGGTCTTGTTTAAATTACAGTCGAATTTTCACGATTTTATTCAATATTTTAATAGAAATCACTGATATTCTGAGACCTTTGACAGCTTCTGTCAAATTGCATTTCGATAAGGTATTTTCCCATTGGTCCATAATATTAATGTTGGTGTAAATCGGCCCTTAATCCATTAAAATTTTTGTTTAACATGTTCGTAGTTCACTTTTTTCAGAGAGGCCAACTTTGGGTCTTTATAAACTGATGACAGCCTTGCGTATGAACTGCATTTTTTCTTACCCCGCGAATTGCAGAAATACGCATATTCAAGTTAGAATAAATGTAATATTCTATATCGATTTCAACGTAATCCTGAATGAGCCTTGGCATTCCCACAAATATTAAGAAATGTCGGTCAGCACAGTTCAATTTTTCAAACGCACACCAACAGCCTACTGCCTCTGAGACCGATCCTAAAGGCTACCTGGCTCTAATAGTCCGATACGATCAATTGTATATCCCTTTTCAGTGCGTCTATGACAAATAATGACAGCGGGCGGTACAAAGGACCCATAATATTTCTATAGGAAACGAAAACCAGCTTAGGAACTGCGGATTTTCGTTTGGCGCTTATTTGTAGAAGTGACAAAGTTGTTTGAGGAGCCGGGCCGGGATCCCGCGTAAAAAATAATTCCCTTGAAATTGGTGTGTTTGTGCGTTCACGTATAACGGCGTGTAAGGGGAGGATCAGTGGTGCAGAGTATGCAGTTCTGGGAAGCCACCTGAACAATATTAAAAGATGGATAGGACTCAATTTTTGGCAGGTGCGCTGACTGACGAGGTGTTAATGACACGCTTTTTTGTTTCAGAACTGGTGCTTAATGATAATAATAAAGGTTTTCAGATATCTAAGAGGTCTGTAAATTAAGTACCGAGACTGATTTTTTAAAATTTTTATCCAAATATAATTACAATTTTGTATTATCACAATCAAAATAACTCCCTTCTGAAGCCACACAGGACTTCAGAGTATTTTTCCACTCCTCATAGCAGTGCTGTAACTCCCATACTGGAATAACCTTCAGCTGATCGGTTACAGCCGTTAATATTTCGACTGTCCCAAAATGAGTTATCTTTAGGTGACTTTTCAACTTCGGGAAGAGAAAAGAGTCACAAGGACTCAATTCAAAACTCGTTTATTCACATTGCTGTGTGACAAGAAGCATTTTCGTGTTCTTGATGCGATGAACGGTGGTTCCCCGATCATTCTGACTGTCAACCGACGATCTTCACCGGTTCTTCCGCTTCGTGGTTCATCTTCAATGGATTCTCTCCCTTCCGAAAATGTCTGAAACCACCGAAAAACCTGGGCTCTTGGCAAAACAGCATCTCCGAAGGCCTACTGAAATTCAGCAAGAGTTTCCATTGCACTGTGCCCAAGTCTGAAGTAAACCCTGATAGCACACCGTTGCTCTAAATTGATGTCATCCATTTTTAGAATAGGATAAACTGTTTTACAAAAAAAATCGCTACGGACAACCAAATGACTCGAGTGAGTTCAAACTTGAATTGAAAGCAGATAACATGTTCTCCTGTCTCCCTCCAAGCCTGACGCCGCCTCCAGTGTTGCCAGTTCGAACGCTACGTTGCCAGTCCCATCATTGAATTTACAGACCTCGTAGCAATTCCCATAAACTACAATAACTCGTAAAGTTCATAGTATGAACGTCGGTCCGGAAATGCGTTATTTTCTTAATACTTGTCCATCTTTGGTAATTCACATTATATTTCTCGAGAGATTAAAATAATTAAGATCTGATCCACGCAAATTTGTTACATTAACACGAACCAAGTACTTTCAGTAGTGGCATTTATGCCGAGATGTCTCTATGTTTTTTCAATATATTAGCATGCGCCTTAAACCTTTTTTTTCAAAAAGAGACCTAAATGTTGTTGAGTCGATCCTGGATATAAAATAATAGTGTAATATATGGCTTGTTCGTACAGTGGTCGGTGACTTGTGGATGACTGTGCCTGGGATCCAGCCGCATGAATTCCGTCTAAAGTGCGTAGCAGAATGAACCAAATTTGTGTGACGGGATCTTGGACACGATCACTGCCAGGTTGGTGACAGGTGTACGTACCGCATTGATACGTTTCTAACAAATATGGAATAAAAATGAGCAAATTCTTAAGACTAAAGATCTTGAGAACTATAGCTAGGAGCAGAAAATAGATAATGCGTAGACTAAACGAATTTATGTATTGCATTTGAACGTGATTAGAAGATTTGGCCGCTTGAGGGAAACTTGCCTCCTGCCCTTCAAAAAGCTTTAGCGGCTCATGGATTCCTACTACATCCTCTATTGGGGCTGTTATTTGCTATTTAAAGAATTTCGGGAAATGGTATGGATTGTTGTCAATTAGATGGTGACACAAAGGTCAAAGGAAGCGCCAGACACTGTCGCATCTGTATGTATGACATCTGTTATTACGTTATTAGAGTCTGTATGGGTATGATACCCGTTCGGTAAGCATTCTGTTTCATAATTATGTTTTCATGAGCATGTTTTTTGTCTTGCACTTATACATATATAAAGTTCAGCACTGCAGGCCTAATAGGCCCATCGCTTGAGTGGTAACCGGTCGCCAGCTTTTCTTGTTTACTGCCTTCTTCTTCCAATTGTTAAGTCTTAACTCTTGAATATCCATTTCCACTTCCATTTTCCATCTGGTTTTCGGTCTTCCTAACCTCTTTTTTCCACCAATATTGCTTGTTAGTACTCTTTTTTGTATTTTGGTCTCCGTCATCCTTTGGACATGTCCAACCATCTCAATCTTTGAGCTTTCACTGTTCCTACTATATCAGGTTCACCATAAAGAGATTGCAGTTCTTTGTTCCTTCTCCGCACCCATCTACCGCACTCCCGCTTCCCACCGAATATCTTGCGTAAGATTTTTCTCTCCCAAATAGCGATTTTGTTCTGTTCTGCTTTATTTAATGTCCATACTTCACTGCCATAGATGACAATAGGTCTTATAATAGTTTTATACAACCTTAGTTTAGCCTTTCTCTTAGTAATCGATTCAGTGATTAAACACACCGGTTACCCATTATCAACCTATTCTGAATTTCTTCCGCAATATCTGATCGTCTTTTAAAAACAGTTCCTAAATACGTGTACGTTTCTATCTCTTCAAATTGGTAAGTTTTTCAACTGGCTGCTTTTACTGTTAACCTCTCATTTTTAAACTCTTCCTCTGTCCATTTCATATACTTAGTTTTTTCTTCGTTAATATCCAAACCCATTGACAGTCTCTTCCAGCCTCTTCGCCACTTTTCATAATTCCTCCTCACTTCTGGTTATGATCACTAAATCGTCAGCGAATGGTAAGCATTGCTATTTCTTATGATAAAGTAATCCTTCTCTATTTATTTTCGAATCTCTTATAATCTTTTCAAGACTTAGGCAGAACAGGACTGTTGAAAGTGGGTCTCCTTGTCTGACTCCTTCTCTAACGATAAAAGAATCCGATAATTCGTTGTTGATTTTGACTTTATTTTCTGTCTTCTTCATTAATATCGTTATCAGTCTAATAAGTTTTTCTTCGATTCCCATTAATTTAAAGCCTCGATCATTTTCTTCCGATTTACCTTATCGTATGCTTGTTTGAAGTCAACGACTAATGCAAACGTCGGCTTCAGGTGCTCGTAGCTTTCTGCCTGTATTTCTCGTAAGATTTGGTCTATCGTGCTTCTTCCGCGTCTAAATCCAGTCTGATATTCCCCTACGATGCATTCCATACTTTCTCTCAGTAGATTCTTCATGTGCGATGTTAATATTTTATATACAATATTCATTAGTGCAATTCCTCTGTAATTGTGACATTTACTCTTATCTCCTTTCTTATATATTGCTTCAGTCCACCTTTCTGGTATTTTTTTATATATCCAAATTTCTTCGGTCAATTTTTGAACTTCTTCGACGTTTTGTCCCCCGCATTTGAACATTTCGGCAGCTCCTGGGCTTTTGTTATTTTTTAATCTACCTATTATTTCTTGTATTTCTGTTAATGTTGGTGCTTTGTCGTTGTCTTCTATTGGAATATTATCAAATCTCTCCCTTCCATTTTCTTCTTCGGTAACCTCTGTTTCTCCTGTGTTTAAGAGCTTGTTGAAGTAGTTTTTCCATAGTTCTAAAATCTGTTTTTCTTCTGCTACTATTCTGTCTTCGTTATCTTTATAAATAATCGTCTTAGGTTCGTATCCCTTTCACGTTTAACGCCCTGATAAAGGGTTCTTAACTCCTTGTTTTTGTAATTTTCTTCTATTTTAGCTAGGATATTTTCAAAGTTGATCCTTTTCTTCAGTAATGCTTTTGTTTTTTTCCTTTGTTCTGGGTATTTTTTTCTGGATTCTTCTGTATTTCTTTTATTGCATTTAATCGAACTTCATTTCTCTTCTGCAGTTCTGCCTTGCATTCGTCGTCAAACCATGACATTTTTTTGATTATCTTGCTATCTATGGAAGTGGCTGCCTTGTTCATAGCTTTCTTTATTTTATTCCATCTCTCATTGACACCGTGTACTTGGTTTTTACTGTCTAGCTCTTTGTTTACTTGTTCCTCGTATCTCTTCTGTTGCTTCATTGTATTTAATCTGACTGGTTGGTTTGCCTTCTTCATCTCTCTTTTTTGGTTCTTCACTATTGTTATAATGATCTGAATCTATATCTGTAGGTTCTTATAGTTTTTGTTTTTTCCTCGCACATTTCTACTAGTACATGATCGATTTGATTCACGACCTTTGCGACAGGTGATTTCCATGTTCCTTTATATATTTCTTTCCTCTGAAAATCTGTGCTTTCCATTATCATATTCCTTTCTCTTGCGAAATCGATAAGCAACTGCCCATTTATGCTGGTTTCCAAGTATTTACTTTATTTACCTATCGTCGGTCTATAAATCTCATCTTATCTCCCAATACAATTTTCATATCATACGTAAGTATATTGTTATATACTTCCCTTAATTCCCTATAAAAAATTTCCTTTGTGTCCAAATCTTTATTTTCTGATGGTGCATGTATGTTAATAAACGTGATTTTTTGGTAACGTCCCTTCAATCTTAATTTAGATAATCTATCCGTGTATTGGGTGAACTCCACTAATGCTGATTTTTTCCCTCATCATGAATCCTGTTCCTAATAATCTATTTTTCTCACCGCTATTCATGAAAACATAATCGTCCACCTCTATTATGTCCTGCCATAATTGATTTGTTTCTTGTAGAGCCACCAAATCGAAGTTATGGTTTTTCAGCTCATTTGCTAGTTGTTTTAATTTTCCAGCTTCGAACGAACCTTGTATGTTCCACGTGCCTATTTTCATGATACCTCGAATGAACACTAATGTGACCTGCTGCTGTAAGCAATGGCACCTCATACCATAACACCCACAGCGCGATGAATATGCCGTTCGATAGAATTCACCACGTCTCCTCCTTACTCTTGTACGGCCATCATGTGTACCGAAACAGAATCTAGACTCACCGCTGAACACGACTGAGTTCCATTCCATATTCCGTTCACGTCTATCGCAATCATTGCCGACGATGCTGTGGGGTCAGAGGTATGAAAACAGTCCAAAAGACCTTATTCGGCGATAAACTATCCTCATTGTTATTGCCCTTTCGACAGCATCAAACCACTGGTTCACTGTCTTTGACGTCCAGTATCTCTAACTCGTCGATTTCAGTCTCCTTGGAACCACGTTCGACAACATCTCTTTACAGCAGCTTCGTTTCGATTCACTCTAAAAGAAAATCCGGCTTCACGTATTCAGATTATAAGACCCCTCTTAAACTCGGAAATTTGAGTGAAATTAGCGAGTCTGCGAACTCTAGGCAGGACAATGCAATGAAACAACAATGAAACAATTGGAAGCAACACAGAAAAATCAGTGAATATTTTTCGGATCCTGATATGACAAAAAAGCCATTACAAAAAAGTACGGCTCGGAGATTCCCTTCAACATTTTATCAGCATCTACTTCCATGATAGGCAATACGTTTACAAGTCTTAATCAAAATTAAATAAATAATAGTTCTGGGTGTTGCATTTTATGTCACTTAGCACATAAAAACCTCCTGGTATGTCGTCAGAAAAAGTGTCATTATCAGCCTTCTTTCTTCCAACTCATCTACAAAGAGTGCTTGGATTCCTTTCTCGGAACCGATTCCTTCAAATCGCTCACGATTCCTTTCAATTCCGATTCGCGCAATAAACAAAAACATACCATCGGTGTTAAGGCTGTTGGTTACGTTTTTGTATATTGTTTTTCAGAGGTCGCTGATTGTATTTTTGTGCTGGCCTGTACTGGTATATGCCTCAATGATGCTATTCTTAGTTTTTTACACTTTATTAAAAAATTTGAGAATGTTGTTCGTTCTAACTCTTCAAATTTCACTTTTGTGGTTTCCTGAGAAATATCAATATCAATGCGACCGAGTTCATATTCCATGACCACGTTAAGTTAAAGTATGTCCATGTCATGAGCCTATTATTTAAAAAAGAATCAGACATTCTTTTGATCATTTTTCTACATTACGCTTATTGTCACGTCTTGGATGCCATGACATGCGAATAATGGTTAATGGTCAGTAAGGATACCGATATGTTGGAGAACTGTGGCTTCAGGAGGCGCTATGGTTCATAGTGTATTTACACCCAAGATACAATGGATGCGTGATTGCCAAAAGCAAGGACGACGTACAGGGCACCTCCGAATGATGGACTACCACCAACGTGTTGTAAAACAAAGATGAATACACTTAACAACAACAACAGCAACAACCAAGCAGGGTGAATACGAAAACACGAGCACGCAGTGATACACGCGACGGACGGTGGCCTGAGTGCAACTCTGCCTGCCCTGCCTCTGCCCCGCGCATTATTCCGCCAGGCGACCGCTTGAAATTTAATGGCGAATTGACCAATAAGAGGCGTTGTCCCCACCTGTTATCGTGAGATCACGCGCTAACTGTTATTATTTACTTCTCATCTTGAATTTGGATTCAGTTTAGTACACCATTTAATAACTGAGCTGCCATCTAGCGGATCGTGAGTATCTCTGTGAAGGCGCCGACAGTCTTAATGAGCGCTCCTATTTGTATTTATCGATTTCGATGGTGTCGATTCCCGAACCGGATAAATCGGTGGTTTCGATACCAACACTTACCAGCTTGACTTTTAATGAACTCTCGCTTCTCTAAATTCGAATTCGTCTATTAATTTCGACTATAGTGCCTGTCTGGTGTAGGTATATTTTGCGGTTCGACAGTCACGGAGATTGTAGCATGAAACTGGATGGAAGATTCCTCTCGGCAAGAGATCTGTTGATTAGAGCCTTTTGACACATTTATAATATAATTTCCTATTGGAAATCGACGTACACATTTTTGTGGCAATTTGTGGGTTCAGACTTAAACTTAAAACATTTTGTGACTTGTCGCTGGGTATTGAGGCTAACATTCAGCCTATTGGTGGACGACCACTCCCGTTGCCACTATTTGCGTTAGAGACGATGTTTCCTGATATGCTTTACAGTTTGTTCTATTTCACTGTGATACATTCAACAATGACATTAGTACCTTGAAGTTGCTAAAATTGAGAGTACTAGTGCGAGGATCCGTATTGCGAACGCGGCTATATTCGAATCGGAGCGGTCTCGAAATCATCGGAATCGAAGCCATCGGGATCGATCCCTTCGAGTAGATTGGAACAGATTCCTCCATTTGCAAAGCATGCAAAGTGCTGTCATCATCGAAACCACAAATCAGGTATGTCGTGTTTTAATTCCTGTGGCACACTTAGGTTGATCTAGTAATACAGCTTTCGTTCATCCGAGCAGTTTTTACTCTCGCAGTGGTTGATTTTGGTAATATATATCACATAGTGCTGCATTATTACTCAGGTTGATTTGTGGCGCTATGAGGAAACGCGCGCCAACGTTGTACATATTTAATATACTATTTATCGAAATTATAGTGTAGCTGGCAGTAGAATTTTTTGGATATGTATAGTTTCACAATCTCTCATCTAACTGCTTTCAGATAAGTAAACCTAATAATCATAAGTACATACAGGCATTCTCTCCGCTATAATTGTATATAAACACTTCGGTCAATACACACTATTAATGCCTTTGTGTACCCTACAATTCACTAATACCTCCAATTAGAGTGTTTTTCACAATAGCACGTTTTGTAGGTTGCCATAATTATCTATTCGTTTATAACGGTCAACCGAGTGCCGAGCATGTAAAACAAAAAACGTTCTGTTAGAAAATATTAGGACATATTTAAGCGCTGTGTAACAAATTGTTCCTTTTTATTTGTCATAACTACGCCGGCGACGTGAAAAAGTAACTCAATTTGGTTTTAAGGACAGAGAAAGTGCGCCTTAGTTTCATTCAATACGAGGTTTTCATAGAAAATTCAGCGATATCTGTAGAATACGGTGTATGTCTTATGCGTCCAAATACCACTGATTCTCATACCGTTTTTCATTTGAAACTAACGTTGCTTGCGTCAGTTAGTCGGCAGGACTTGAGGACTGAGACCAAAGGTCCTGCATTGGCTTTACACGACGCTGGTAAGACCTAAGATACAGTATGGATTCGAGGTCTGGTGGTCAGGTATCGAAAGAGCTACGGTTTCCCGCAAGCTCGCTAAGATTCAAAGACAGGTGGCGCTGGGATAAGTGATGCGATGAGGACATCCCCTGCAGCGATTCTTGACCTTTTCTTGAGACTGCTCCCACTGAACGCCTGCATAAAACGTGAAGCGTTGTCATCATACCTAAGGATGCACGATGAGGCCACGTGGGTGAACCAGGATCGGAGATGTGACGGGTCTACTTATATCTTCTATAAGAGTGGAAGAGGCCAAGAGCAACGCACGATCAAATGTAGCATTCTCACTCATCATTCCTTTGAAGGAAGGAGCTATAACATACCCGCTCCATTCTCTCGTGAGCTTCACCGACGGATCCTTTTCCAAGGCGATAGGATCCAGTGTGGCGGGAGTGTACCTGGAACGTAAAGGCAGGACCACTTGGTGCTTGGAGCTGCACCTCAATCTTCCTGGCAGAGACATCTGCCATCTTGATCCCCTTCTGTTCTTACATGAATAACCTACCTACTTACAAAGCTTTAAATATAACAGTGGATAACACCAAATGTGCAAAGAATAGGGTATTTTGGAACATATATTGACGCTCATCTCAGATGGGACGCCCACACTGAATATATGATAGGAGAGCTGAGCATAATATCGTAAATTGTTGGAGATTCCACAGCTCCGAACCTACTATTGAATAGCTCAAAGTCCTCCCAGCTGCGATATTATTGCCTGGGGGCGCTGCAAATATCACCTATGTTCGAAACTTAGAAGTAATCCAAGAATGCATTATAAAGACGATGTTTAAGAAGCCAAAGCTGTATCCAACAGAGGAATTGTTCCAATGATCAAATATTTTTGATGCTCGTCAACTACACTTAGGTATGCACGATACTGATAAACGCTCATATTGGCAGAGACAACATGAGAACAGTAAAGCGTACTTATGGCACATGGAAAAAATCTTATACAAGTTCCAACAGCAGAAAAAAATGTCTTACAAAAGTCCTATAGCTTTCTGGGACGTAGGTGTTATAATATACTACCTGAAGAATTACAACAAATAAGCTCACTTGGAGACTATTCAAGAATAAATTAAAACAATGG